CATGGAGTGGTTGGAGCAACCAAATTGCAAAACTTTCAGTTAACAGTCCAAAATATAACACACTATCCCACTCTCACAAAACTAAGTGGACTTTATCTGCCTCGGGCAATTCTGTAAAGCTCATTATAAATAAATGACACTATGGGGATCATGTCTGTTGTAATTAAATATGGCATTGCATTTTAAAAAAATATTTATAAGCAGCAAGATTGAGAGTCTTTACTCTTGACTTTAAGATAGATCAATATGCAATTTCCATATCATAATTCTCTTGGTAATTTTTTATGGTATCTTTTGAAACATGTATGCAGAGCAGATTATCCGAGAGGCTGGGCTCTATGAGGAGAATTGTGGCATCAGGATTGGTGGAAGATCTATTAACAATCTCCGTTATGCAGAGACACAACCTTGCTTGCTGAAACTGAGGAGGACCTCATGCACTTGCTGCGAAGGGTCAAGGACTGCAGCCTTCAGTATGGACTGAGGCTCAATGTCAAGAAGACAAAGATTCTCGCCACTGGACCAATTGGCAGCGTCAGGATGGATGACGAAGAGATTGAGAGTGTTTACAGCTTCAGTTTGCTCGGCTCCACAGTCAACACTCTTGGCACCAGCAGTCAGGAAATCAAAAAGCGTATCGCGATGGGAAAGTCTGCTGTTAGGGACCTCTCAAAGGTACTCAGGAGCAACAGTGTCTCTCTGGAGACTAAGGTGCGCCTGATACAGGCCATGGTCTTTGCAATCGCTTGTTATGCATCAGAGAGTTGGGCAATGACTAGGGAGAACAGAAGGAGAGTGGATGCTTTTGAGCTGTGGTGCTGGAGAAGGGTACTGAATGTACCACGGACTGCCAGGAAAACAAACAGATTCATCTTGGAGAGGATTAAACCAAGCTACTCCTTGGAGGCAAGGATTCTGGGGCTTCATCTGACATACTTTGGACATGTTGCCAGGAGGGACGGGTCCTTAGAGAGGGACATCATGCTTGGGAGGGTGGAGGGACAGCGCAGGAGGGGAAGACCCTCTATGAGATGGATTGATTCGGTGACTGGGGTAATCGGGATGGGTGTGTCAGAGGCGGTGCAGTTGGCGCAGGATAGAGCAGGGTTTAGGGCTGTTGTGCATAGGGTCGCTATGAGTCAGAAACGACTCGACGGCACATAACAACAACAACAACAACAACATCTTTTGAAAAAAAATTCTAAACAGAATTCTAAATAATTAGACTGTTGCTGTTGTTGTTGAGAGCTATGGAGTCAAAACTGGCCCGTAGCAAACCCTCTCATGGGTTTTCAGCAACAGTTAATCATACAGGAAAAGACTGTCCCTCCTTCTCACACAGAGCAGCTCGTGGATACAAACCAAGTACCTTTGGGATGGCTATGCAGCTTCTTACCACTAGGCCACCAGAATTCCCAAGTAATCAAACTATAAGAGTAAAATTCTTAAAAGCTCCCACGTTAAAGGAAGCATTTCTCAATAAAAGTAATAGAAACAAATTTAAATTGAGATGAGGTAAACATAATGATGATTTATACAGAGGGAAAAGTAAGTTGTTAATACCTGGTTTACTAAATTACTTAATAAATAATATACAGAAAGGGTAAAGATTTTTTTCAAGAGTAAAATACTCTATTGGCATGCATTTCAATAGCTGTCAATTTTTTTTTCTTTTCAACATTACTATGCTGTTACTGTATCTCACAAAGATGAACATGAACGTTACTTTTCACTCTTTACTAGGCTCACTACAGAATACACTACATTAATTTTTACAGTATTCCTAAGAGAAGAGGAAATACACATTTAACTCACTGAGGAAAGGACATGTAAAGGAGTTGTGTTGTTTTGGGTTGGTTTTTTTTTTTTGTGGTTTTGTTTTTTGGGTTTTTTCTAATATATAATTCCATAACTATTTGGGCATGTGGCCAGGAGGGACCAATCATCGGAAAAGGAGATGTGGCCAGGAGGGACCAATCCTCGGAAAAGGAGATCGTGCTTGGAAGGGTGGATGGACAGTGCAGGAGAGCAAGACCCCAGATGAGAAAAACTGACACCATAACTGGGGCGATGGGATTAGATGCTTGGAGTCAGTAAGACTGTTTTAGGATAGAGCAGGGTTCAGGCCTGTTGCACATAGGGTCACTCTGAGTTGCAAACAACTCGACAGCATGTAACAACGAACAACAGTAAGACATTTTGTGAGCCTCTTTGATGCCTTAGACTAATGAAAGTGAAATTTTAGAGGTAATCACCCAATTTTATAACCTTGGCCAGATAAATTTAAAAAACAAAACAAAAAACTCACTTCCAGTCAAATGGTTTCCAACTCACAGCAAACTTCCTTCAAGTCTCTGAGCCACAAATATTTACACCAGGAGATTGTCCCACCTCTCTCCCATGGAGCAGCTGGTGGATTCAAACTTTTTTTTTTTTGGTTAGCAGTATAACATGCAATACACAATGCCACCAGAGCTCCTTTGTTGTTATTGTTATGTGCCATTGAGTCTCTTCTGACTCATAGTGACCCTATTTACAACAGCTCTGAGCCCTCCTCTATCCTGAGCCAATTTCATTGTCTCTGACACACGTACCACCATTACCCCGTCACTGAGTCAATCCATCTCTCCAGGGTCTTCCCCTCTTGTGCTGAACATCCACCCTCCCAAGAATGATGTCCGTCTCCAAGGACTGGCCCCTTTGGGCAACATGCCTAAAAATTGTGAGAAGGACCTTAGAAACCCTTGCCTCCAAGGAGCAGCCTGGTTTCACCCTCTCTCGGACAGACTTATTTATTCTCTTAGCAACCCATGGTATGTTCAATATTCTTCTCCAGCACCATAACTCAGAGGCCAACTCTCTGATACATAGCAAGTAATTGCGAAGACCATGGCTTGGATCAAACACACCTTAGTCTCTAGACTGTCACCATTTCTCTTCAGTACCCTGGAGAGGTCCCTGACAGTAGGTTTTCCCAATTCAGTTCCTCTTTTATTTCCTGGCTGCAGCTATCGAGAGATAATGGTAAGTATTCTCCATGGAAATAGAGTGGTGAATACACAGAAATGCATGTAAGTAAGCATTTATACTCATCACACCTCACATATAGATATGGATAGGTTAAAAGATTTTCCTTAAATGAAAATCATCATTATATGAAAATGGAGGTTGGCCAATTGATTGGATCACAAAAACAAGGATGACTACATCATCATTTAGCTACTAAATTGTATCATTACATAACTGTCATCCGCTGAGAATCATGGCACACAGCTTAACCAATATAGACAGCATTATCGCACCCAGCAATTCAGCATTTGTTATTGCCAGATGTATGCCATTAGCACGCAAAAAGTAATTATTTTTTATTATTGCTATAAATGTAAAATGTCAAATAACAAGATACTAAAAATGTTGAAGAGTAAGCCTAATGAATAAGTAAAGATACTAATTATACATGAAACAGAAACAAATAGTCTCATTTAAGAATCATCAAGTTCTTCATCAAAACTCTTCATTTTTATTTCAACATAAAATTTAAAACCATCTTTTTTGAATTCTTAGCATTGGAAAGAATCTGAGAAGTGTATGAACCACTAGTTTTGTTTTGAGAGTTTAAAAATCTCCAACAATGTCCAAATCTTCTCCTTAACATTTTATTCTTTGAGCTAGTAAGGGGTGGTGTGGCTTGCATTAAAAAAAAAAAAATTATATATATATTAATTTATTTCCAAGATGACAATATGAGTGAAGTGTTGATAGTTACAAAACTAAATTCAATAACTGCTCAACTAAAACCCTTTCATAATGAGACCATTTCCTGAGAGTCACTTCCAGAATTGTTCAGGGGGTAAGATCAGAGCCCTATGCAGTCTCTACTTGCTTCTCATCACATCAGAGCCTGTATGTCCACTGTCAAAAAATGTGCTTAATCCATTTAATATTCAACTACAACTACCACTACCTTTTCTACTCTTCTCCACTCACACCATGCCCGTTACTGTGCCTGACACTCACATGGATAAAGGGATGGATGAATACCTGGGTGGACAAATGAAGAGTCCATTTTTGTTCCGCTAAATAATAGAATTCATTCAAATATAGTCTTTTTTCTCCTCGACTGAGGAAATGATTGTAATTGTTACTCTTTTTCTTGTTAAAAGTTTCTAAATGCCTAGTCAGTTTCCAAATGAAACAGAAAAAAACAAACTAATGTCATGGAGTCTGTCAGTTGCAGGCATAGTGAGCTCCAGGTGCTTTCTGAGGTTGTAAATCTTTACAAGAAGATATTACACACTTGCGAATTTTAAGGCAGGAGATTAACCATGTAGAACGTGGAGAATTAAAACCCCTGACCTTTCTGTTAGCAAACCCCAAAAGATGTTCTAAGTTGGGTAGCAAAACTTGGGATCTGGAATATCAAAGAAAAGGAAAAAATCTAAATGTACATGTAATTTCAGTAGGGAAAATGCAGGAAAAAAGTGTCCTATTCTAAAATATTATTTTCCTTATTAATTAGCCCTCTCTACACTCTCTGGACGAAAAAAAAAAAAAAAAGAAAGAAAAAAACCCCAAAACCAAAAAGGATTAGAGGTGAACTGACTATATTATATTCGCCTGGAGTGCTTCAAAAGTGTTATAAAAAAAGAGAAAAAGAGCTGGACTTCCTCTTTGAAAGTGTTGTTTAGGGAAGACTCAGGACTTACTGTTGTTAAGTTGTCTGAGAACCAAAGAAAAAGCTGAGTGTTAAAGGCACCGTTAATATTGAAGAAAATGCACCCAGGGTCTGTGAGTATACTTATAACTGTAATAGATGTTCTTGCTACAACTACTTGCCAGTTTCACTCTCACTTGTTGGGGGAGGTGTGTTTCACTGGCAGTACTTCCTCATACATTCTAGACAGCTCTTTGGAAATCAGAAGATTGGGATAGAGAGAAGAAAACTCATTACCCGGCCCTCTGGGAGTGGGAGAAATAAAGTGTAAGATTGGACTACTCACGGCTCTGCCTGTAGACTCCTGTCCTCAGCAACATAGTTAGACGGAATATAGCCCTGGAGTTGCTGGCTAGATCTGTCTCCCCTTTTCTCCAGGTGCCTGGCAAGCCACCAGCCCTGGTGGGAAGTGTCCAGAATTTGGAGCTTGTCCCCCGCACGGAAGCTCAGGTCCTCTGCAGTCCGAGCTTGATAATCAAACAGAGCTACGAAGTAGGAGCCCTGTCTTCTCTCAGGCTCCTGCTTCGGGGGCCGAGGAACATCAGGAGGGCAGTGGGCCCCTGGATTCGCGATCACCGTTGGCTTGTCTGCCTCCTGGAACAAGCAGGGCAGACAGGGCTGCAAGTACTCCCAGAGGCGCCTGCACACGTTGCCCATGGTGCCTCCCTGGTGGAGAGGAGAGGGGCTTCTCCCTCTCCCCTTCGACCCTGAGCTCCCACTAGCTCACGATCTGCCAGGCAACGTGGAAATCAGCACCAACTCACCACGCTTTGGAGACCTGGCACACACCTTGCTTCCAAGCAAGCTGGCAGGTTTGGTTGTAGAGAAATCTGCTTTTCTCTCCTGCGTTGCTTGCTGCCCCAACAGCAAACTGAGGGGACCTGGGCAGCTAGCTGCTCAGTCAAATCTTGGGTTTTTCTTCTTGTCTGCTTCAGAATGCCACAGCCAAAATAAAACAAAATTAAGAGATTTGTTCTTGACAAGTCCCTGAGAACAGCAAAGAGTCATCCTCCTTTTTTGGGCCAGAAGGCAAGTTAAGGAAAGAAAGAGATTAACTCCAGGTGAATTCACCAGTCTTTCCCCTTGGCCAGGCGCTGCCTCCAGGCTTCAAGGCTGTTCCTGAAGTGTGGCCAGTCCTGACCGCCACAGCTCTTGCCTTTTTGCTAATGAATAACCCACTGGCCCAGGCGATGGCCCTTAACATCCTGAGCTATGTGCAGCCTGTGGTCATTTCTCCTTACTTCCTGGTTTAGGTTGCTCTGTGATTGACGTGAGATTGCAGACCTCTCCACCCCTCCCTTCTCTCACACCTGAGATAGAACAGCGCCCTCCCCAGGGAGTCAAACCGAAAACAATCACAGAAACATTTTCACCTAGAGGCCAGGCCACCCAGGTTAAGAGCTTTGTTTTGCCGGTTCCAGTGTAAAAAATCAAGGAAATTATTTCCACCACCACCACCACCCCCCGCCCCATCCTTAGCCACCCTTAGAAGAAACAAGTCAGATTAAACCGATCCGACTTCTGTCACTGGATAAAGGCAATTACATAGGCGGTTTTGAGACTTTTTTCTCATCATTATAACTCATTTTCACAGCCTTAAAGTATATTCACAATCTAGAAAAGTAAAAGTCACTGACTAAAACTCCGAGAACTTGAACCACAGCGTTTCCACACAGAGACATTTAAATATCTCATTTCTCAAGCACTATTTCTGAACCTTTCCCTCCCCCTATATCTTTCTCTTACACAGAGAGAGAGAGAGAGAGAGTAAAGATCCAAAGGCAATCTGGTGATTAATTGTATAAAACATAGTGTATACATGAGTGATTATTTGAAACGCACTGTGAATGCAGGGGGTGTGTGAAACTCTATGTACATGAATAATATGCAGTGTATATCAATTTTATATTCAAACCAACAGAAAATAATAAAGTGGAGAGGAGGGGGAAAACAGGAGAAGACCAGCTGTGTGCTGCTGTAATGCCTTTTTCTGCCACTGTAGCTTCCTGGTCTGTCCTCAAACCTCAAATTCATTGCCATCAAGTTCAGACTTAAGTGTGTTCCTCCATGGGATTCAACTTATAGTGAGCCTCTGTCAGGTCTTCATGGCTGTAAATCAAAGCAAGAGAAGCCTTCTGATCCTTCTCCAATGGAGCTGCTGGTACATTAGAACATCCTGAGACCTGAAGGCTTTGAGTTAGCAGGACAGCTTTCTGTAGAGATCTTCATGGTCTGGGTTAGTTCTTACTACCTTCTTGGCTCTGCAGGTCATTCATGAAGGTGAGATGAGGCTCTGGTAGCCTCATGGTAAGGATCAGCACTGCAATCCTGAAGGCACACAGTTCAAATCCACCAGCTGCTCTGCAGGAGCAAGATGAACAATCTCCTCTTGTGTGATTAAGCTGCCTCTAAAATCCAACTGGAGGGTCAGCTGTGGGTCTGTTTTGACTTGACAGTAAGCAGCCATAACCATCCTATAGAGAGGATGGATGTTTTCTCTCCTTCCCCTGGCTCAGGGAAGATGTCTCATAATTGCACACCCTCAGTCAAGAGAGGAGCTGGTAATAAGTTTGGGCAGATCGACACACTTTGCCCCCACTAGTAGAAAGCACTGAGCAACTGCTTGGACTTGTTTTCTGTGGAACCTTCAGGTTATAAAATACTATCTCTTAACAATTTTTAAAACGTTGATGAAGTCTTCGACCTCATTAAACTCAACTAGAAAAAGTTCAGCGTTCTTTTTGTCTACCAAACTACAAAGCATTTTGGCTGTAAGAATAATCAAACTCAAAAGAAACAGGGGATAGGTGAAAAAAAAAAAAAAACAACACAAAGACTTTAATCCCTCAACTATTTGAATGTGTTGCAACCACTTTGACTCATAGGATTCAGTGTATTATGGAATAAAACTCTTCCATGAACTTATCTTATGGAGATGGATCACCAGGTCTTTATTCTACAGTGTTTTCCAACCTCTAATGGAAAGAAAGAGATTGGAAAAAAGAGTGGTTTCCAGATGACAACCTTTAGTTAATAGCCAAGAGAAAGCATTTGTTTCACCTGCTGTCAGCTATCATTAAAATCTGACACTTTCAGTAAACAGTGAGGAAGAGTTTTATTTTCTTGGTGTTAATATGCAATCTATATTGAAAGTGATAGTCTGACTTTCTGCTATAATCACTTCAAGGCTGTCCTCCTCACTTTCAGCAAGCAAAGTCCTCTCATTTGTGTACCACAGGTTGTTGATGAGTCTTTCTCTCATTCCTCTGATTCAGCAGCAACATTCAGGGTTGCTATTATGTTTGTTCAAGTTGACTGTGACTCATAATACCTTTATGAACAATAGCTATGAACCCTACCCTATCGTGAACCAGTATCACTGTCTCTGATACATCTACCCCTATTGCCCCAGTTACTATATCAATCCATTTCATCCAGGGCCTTCTTCTCCTATGCTGTCCTCCACTCTTTCAAGCATATTGTCTTTTTTCCAGGGACTGGTCCCTCCTGGCAACATGTCCAAAGCATGTTAGATGGAGGTTCAAAATCCTTGCTTCCAAGGAGAAATTTGGTTTCACCCTCTCTAGGTCAGACCTGTTTGCTCTCTTGGCAGTGCAGGATATGTCCAATAGTCTTCTCCAGCACCACAAGTCAAACATATTTATTCTTCTTCTTCTATCATCCTTTGTTATTGTCCAGCTCTGGGATACACAGCAAATAATGGCAAGATCATGGCCTGGATCAGGTGCACCTTATTCTCTAGACAGACATCATTGCTCTTCAGCTTACTGGAGAGGTCCCTCACTGCAGATTTTCCCAGTACAATTCATGTTTTGATTTCCTCACTGCTGGTGCCAAGAGTGTTGATTGTGGAACTAAGCAAGCTGAAATAGTTAATAATCTCAGTCTCACCTCCATCTATCATGATGCTGACAAGTGGCCTACTGGTGAGAATCTTTGTTTTCTTGATATTAAACTTCAATCCATCTTGAACACTGCAGTTCTTGACCTTCTGTAGCAAATACTCCAGGTCCTTTCCAGTTTTGGTTAAGCAAGGTTGTGTCATCTGCATAATGCAAATTGTTGCTGTCTGCCTCCAATCCTCCTGCCACATTCCATCTCATAAAATACAGCCTTCTGAATGATCCGTTCCTTGTATAGATTGCAAAATATGGAGAGAAGATGCATCACTAACTCACTCCTTTTTATTTGAAACCATGCAATGTTTCCGTACTCTGTTCTGAAGACTACTTCCTGGTCCAAGTATAGATTTCACCAACTATAGGTCCGAATATAGGAGCGCAATTAAGTGTTCTGGGATTCTCATTCTTCTCAAAGTTAGTCACAGTTTATTGTAATCCTAATTCTTCTCAAGGTTATCCACAATTTGTTGTGATCCACACAGTCACATGCCTTTGCATTGTTAATGAGACAGAGATAGCCTTTCCACTGGTACTCTCTCCTTTTACCCAAGATCCATCTGACATTGGCTATAATGTCCCTAATGCCACAGCCTCTTTTAAACCCAGCTTGCACTTCTGGAATATTCTGTAATACCAGTAAGAAGCATGCAAAGAAAAAATACAGACCATTATAAAAGTAGCAGAAAGTCTTTTTGGTCAGAGATTTCTGCATAAAATATGATGAAACTGAGATTTAGCAGGATAGATGGCAGCAATGATACTGGCAGTAGTGATAGCAAGCAAAAGCAAGAGGTGCAGAGATGTGTTAAAAATCAGAGACCAGAGGTAAGCAGAGCTGAGTTAGACCACACTATCGAGACACAGCCAAATGCCTGGACTCACTTACTGGCAGAGTAAGAGGCACATGTTATTATGTGCTGTTGAGTCACCTGCAACCCATAGTGACCCTATGTACAGCAACTCTAAGCCCTTCCTGTCCTGAGCCAATCTCACTAATTCTGACACACCAACCCCCATTGCCCCAGTCACTATATCAATCCATCTCATCCAGGATCTCCCTCTCCTGTGCTGTCTCTCTACCCTTCCAAGCATGATATCCTTCTCCAAGGACTAAGCCTTTCTGGCCGTATGACCAATGTAGGTGAGACAGAGCTTCTAAATCCTAGCCTCCAAGGAGAAACTTGGTTTCGCCCTCTCCAAGACAGACCGAATTGGTTTCCTGACAGTCCATAGTGTGTCCAAGACTCTTCTCCAGCACCACAACTCGAAGGCATCAATTCTTCTTCTGTCTTCTTCAGTCATTGTCCAGCTCTCTGATGCACAGCAAATAATTGCAAAGACCATGGCTTGGATTAGGTGCACCTTAGTCTCTAGACTGACATGGTTGCTTTTCAGTACTCTAGAGAGGTCTCTGACAGCAGGTTTTCCCAATGCAATTTGTCTTTTGATATCCAGACTGCTGGTGTTAAGAGTATTGATTGTGGAGCTGAATAAGCTGTAATTGCTGCCTGTTGGTCCAGTGGTGAGAATCTTCACCATCTTGATGCTGAGTTTCAAACCATATTAAAGACTACAGTCCTTGACCTTCTGCAACAAGTGCTTCAAGACTTCTTCAGTTTCAGCAAGCAAGGTTGTATCATTTGCATAATGTATGTTGTTGATGAGTCTTCCTCCAATCCTGATACCACATTCCTCCTCATAAAGCCCTGCTTCCTGAATGATCTGGTCTGCATA